GAACTATTTATCATCCATTTTAATACAGGAGCTGTTTCTCTCCCTGGATCATGATGAGCTGCCTCTTCGGGCAAAGGTATATTTGGTTCTAAGTGATTGTACGTATGAGATACATATCATGTAAGATTTTACATTGTTAATTTTATTTTTATTTTTCGGTATCCTTGCAGGGGGCAAGAATTTTAGTGATCCTCCTATGCAAGCATGAATTTGACGCTCGTTACCAGAAAGCCGAAGATAAGCTGTATATTGCACAACTGTATTTTCCTTTTGTTGGGCAGGTATGTCACTGTGGCTTGAAAAAAAAAATCATCCAAAAATTCTTTCATTTAGGTAGTCCACAAGTGTTTTGTAAATTCACTTGTGCTTTGATAAGTTTCATGGTTTATTGTTATTTTCCATGGCTTAAAATGTATCCCACAAGCTCGTTTTCTGTTGCAATCCCCCTCAATTATCGTGTCATAAGCATCCTTATTACAGGAAAATAAAATACGCTAAAAAGAATTAAATGGTGTGGCAGTAGCAACCTTTGGATTGAGTGTTATGTCAATACAATAATAGCCAAGGCAGCTTACATTTTATGTTTTCTTCCTTTTGCAGATTTTAGATGAAATGCCTGTTTTCTATAACCTAAATGCTACTGAAAAGCGTGAGGTTTTAATTGGTGTGTTGCAAATTGTACGTAATCTGGATGACACATCACTTGTCAAGGCATGGCAGCAGAGCATTGCGCGTACTAGATTGTATTTCAAACTCATGGAAGAATGCCTCATACTTTTTGAGGTTCCTCTCCACAACCATTTCTTAAAATTTGGGAAAAGGCTCGACTCTTTTACTTAACTCATTGTTAAAGGAAGCCAAAGGAAATTGCCATTTATTGAAATATGAATTTTGGGGGTCTATGGTGTTTACTAAGTTATATATCAGGCAGTGCAATTTTTTCATTTGTTTGAGAAAATTTGATGTCATCTGGTTGTGTGGGTCTGGTAGAATGGTATGGGAACTGCTTTAGAACTTAGATTTGATTTTACTACCTGGAAATATCTGTACTTGTAAATTACTGATTGCCTCCTATGGCGATTTGATAATTTTGAACTATTAAAATTTTCAGCACAAGAAAGCTGCTGACAGCATCCTCGGGGGAAACAATTCTCGTGGTCCCGTTAGTGAAGGAGCTGGATCACCAAAGTACTCTGAGCGACTTTCTCCTGCTATCAACAATTATCTGTCAGAGGCCTCCCGGCAAGAAGTAAGGGTGAGTTGCTTAATATATCCTGTGTGTTCCTTCTCTTTTTTTTTTTGGGTAAAACTAAAAACCTTAACGATGTTGCTTTCTTATGGTGGACTTCTCAAAACTAAGTTAGAAAGTCCTCTGCTTTTTGTATATTTAGAGTTAAGCAGGAAAGGCTCAAATGTCTTCTGTTATTTTACTGCAGCTAGAGGGAACTCCTGATAATGGGTACCTGTGGCAGAGAGTTAATTCTCAGTTGGCGTCCCCTACCCAACCTTATTCTTTAAGAGAAGCTTTAGCGCAAGCACAATCTTCACGGATTGGAGCTTCAGCTCAGGCACTAAGAGAATCGCTGCACCCTATTTTGCGGCAAAAACTGGTATTGTTTTATGCTGTTCATGCCTTCTTCTTAATATTACTTATTTTGCTGGCATGCTCGTCAATGAGCTATTCTACTAATTGCGTGCACACTGACCAGGAACTTTGGGAAGAGAATGTAAGTGCCACTGTTAGCCTCCAGGTTTTGGAGATCACTGAAAAATTTTCATCAATGGCTGCCTCTCATAATATTGCTACGGACTATGGAAAATTGGACTGCATTACTACAATATTGACGAGTTTCTTCTCCCGGAACCAGTCATTAGCCTTCTGGAAAGCCTTCTTTCCAATTTTCAACAGAATCTTTGATCTTCATGGGGCCACACTGATGGCCAGGGAAAATGATCGCTTCTTAAAACAGATAGCTTTCCATCTTCTCCGTCTTGCTGTTTACCGCAATGACAGTGTCAGGAAAAGGGCTGTTATTGGTCTTCAAATACTAGTCAAGGTGAGACATCTATATTTGTATAAAGACTTCTCTGTCTCTTGCTATTCGACTTGAGTTCAATTGCTTTTGTTTTTGCAGAGCTCGCTATATTTTATGCAGACTGCTAGGCTGAGGGCTTTGTTGACCATTACACTGTCAGAACTCATGTCAGATGTTCAAGTAACTCATATGAAAACAGATAATACATTGGAAGAGAGTGGAGAGGCAAGGCGGCTTCAACAGTCATTAAGCGAAATGGCTGATGAAGCTAAGAGTGTCAATTTGTTGAGGGAGTGTGGTCTTCCTGATGATACTCTGTTAATAGTTCCTGAGAAATTTACAGAAAATCGTTGGTCTTGGGATGAAGTGAAACATCTTTCTGACAGTCTTGTTCTTGCTCTTGATGCAAGCCTCGGGCATGCCCTTTTGGTATGGTTTATAATCAACTTGACATTTTTAAAAATATCGTTTCTGGTGTTAGTGATGGAAGAAATGCCTTATGCTTCACTTATCGCCTGTATTAGAGGACTTGATTGCCAAAAGGTCCTTGCCTTGTTATATGGTGGAAACCTCATGTCTTGTACGCTCAAATTCCTCCCCATCAACACCCATTTCTAGTATTTTTACTGTGTTTATGAAACTGATAGGTATATAAGATAACGCAGGAGTCAATTCCCTGTGTAAAAATTAAAAATTGACACTGATGGAACTTATAGTGTAACCGAGTGAATATGCATCTCCTGTCAGGCATATGGTCTCTTCCTTCTCTTTTCTGATAATTAATATGAATGAATGTCTTGGCATCACTGATTTAAAATTAAGTATCACAGAAGTGCTTGGTAACACTTACACAAGTTTTCCAATCCTGTTTAGTGGCATTAAGGTCATGTTTGCACTAATACCTGCTATGTTTCTTCTTCCTTGTTCCTATTGTAATGTGGAAACAATTATTAGATTTAACTAGCTTGCAAGTCTTTCTGTAGTATTCCAACGTCAAAATTTATGTTCTTACAGGGATCTGTGATGGCTATGGATCGATACGCTGCCGCAGAGAGCTTCTACAAACTTGGAATGGCATTTGCTCCTGTTCCAGATCTTCACATAATGTGGTTGCTGCATCTATGTGATGCCCACCAGGAAATGCAGTCCTGGGCTGAAGCTGCACAGTGTGCTGTGGCGGTTGCAGGTGTAATAATGCAGGTAAACAATTTCTAAATCTGGCATGTGTATGTGATTCTTTAGATGCGCAGTGGATCATCGTTGCGGTCTGGTTGGCTTTTTAGCTGCTGTCTTAACTCAAATCTGCCTGTCCACTAGATACTGCTTCTAAAACTTATGTGCATGCTATGGTTTTCCCCTTCTTCTTGTAGGCCTTGGTGGCTAGAAATGATGGTGTGTGGAGCAAGGATCATGTGGCTGCCTTGCGTAAAATCTGTCCAATGGTAAGTGGCGAGTTTACAACAGAGGCATCAGCAGCTGAAGTAGAGGGTTATGGTGCTTCAAAACTAACAGTTGACTCTGCCGTCAAGTATCTACAGCTTGCTAATAAGCTTTTCTCCCAAGCTGAGCTCTACCATTTCTGTGCAAGCATTTTGGAACTTGTTATTCCAGTTTACAAGAGCAGGAAGGCTTATGGGCAGTTGGCTAAGTGTCACACGTTACTTACTAATATATACGAGTCCATTCTTGACCAGGAGTCAAACCCGATCCCATTTATTGATGCTACGTATTACCGGGTGGGATTTTACGGGGAAAAGTTTGGGAAGTTGGACAGGAAAGAATATGTATACCGTGAACCACGAGATGTGCGGCTAGGGGATATAATGGAAAAGCTGAGCCATATATATGAATCAAGGATGGACAGCAACCATATTTTGCACATAATTCCAGATTCGAGACAGGTGAAGGCAGAAGAATTGCAGGCAGGAGTGTGCTACCTGCAGATTACAGCTGTTGATGCAGTCATGGAAGATGAGGATCTCGGGAGCAGAAGAGAGAGGATATTTTCTCTTTCCACTGGAAGTGTGAGAGCACGAGTGTTTGATCGGTTCCTGTTTGACACACCATTTACAAAAAATGGTAAGACGCAAGGTGGATTAGAAGATCAGTGGAAGAGACGAACAGTGCTACAGACAGAGGGTTCATTCCCTGCCCTTGTGAATAGGCTGCTGGTTACCAAGTCTGAATCCCTTGAATTCTCGCCAGTGGAGAATGCAATTGGAATGATTGAAACCCGAACAACGGCTCTGAGAAACGAGCTAGAAGAGCCTCGTAGCTCTGACGGGGATCACCTACCACGGCTCCAGAGTCTGCAGAGGATTCTTCAAGGAAGTGTTGCAGTCCAGGTGGGCACTCTGATATTTTTTTTATCCCAAGATACATATGTCGTGTTGTATGTAAAAAAGACACGTAGAAATGTTCTGAGATTCTTCCTTCCATGTTAAATAAAAAAACAAAATGCAGGTAAACAGTGGGGTGTTGAGCGTCTGCACAGCTTTCTTATCAGGAGAGCCTGCAACGAGGTTGCGCTCACAGGAACTGCAGCAACTGATCGCGGCACTGCTTGAATTCATGGCTGTTTGCAAGCGAGCCATAAGGGTTCACTTCAGATTAATCGGAGAAGAAGACCAAGAGTTCCATACTCAGCTTGTCAACGGATTTCAGTCTCTCACCGCAGAACTCTCCCATTACATCCCGGCGATCTTGTCGGAACTTTAGTCCTGAGTATCATTGTAATTTTGTCTGTGAGTTTGTGTTGTTTTTCTTTTGTATTCTTGTGTTTCATTTCCACTAATTGGGCTTGGGCTATGTGTGTGTGTTTGTTAATTCTTTGTTAGTCATATATATACAGTATAATCCTCGTTTCATCTCTTATGGGCCTTTTTTTTTGGTTTCACTAAAAAGATGAAATTGTCGGCGTTGAATTAAAATAACCTGCGCGAATCCCAGTTCCGATCATCCGCCATGGAAGCAGCGTTGAGGGTGGAAATGCTCTCCAAAGGCGGCTTAACGGAGGTACCTTCCCAGTACATTCAGCCACCGGATGCTCGGCCTAATCTCGCTGACGGCGCCGGCGATGCTACTGCAGTCCCAACCATCAGCCTCTCCAGCTCCGATTCGGCGAGGGAAGCCATCGGTCGTGCTTGCCGCGACTGGGGAGCCTTCCACGTCGTCGACCATGGCGTCCCCATCCATCTCCTGGATCGGATGAGGTCTATAGGCCTCTCCTTCTTCCAGGATTGTCCCATGGAAGAGAAGCTCCACTACGCCTGCGACTCCAGCTCCGCCGCATCCGAGGGTTATGGCAGCCGCATGTTGCTCGGCGCCAAGGACGACGTCGTTCTGGACTGGAGGGACTACTTTGATCACCATACTTTCCCTCTCTCTCGCCGCAACCCTTCTCGATGGCCCGTCTCTCCTCCTGACTACAGGTGCTCTTTTCTTCTCCATTCCTGCTTTGATTCTCACCATAGTTGTATGATTGATTCCAATTGCATTCTCCACTGGCTGGGTTTAGACAAGTTGTGGCAGAATATGGTGATGAGATGAAGAAACTTGCTCAGATGCTATTGGGGTTCATATCACAGAGCCTTGGCCTTCCTTGTTCATGCATAGAGGAAGCTGTGGGTGAGATCTATCAGAATATCACTGTGAGCTATTACCCTCCTTGCCCTCAGCCTGAGCTCACCCTTGGTCTCCAGTCCCATTCCGACATGGGTGCCATTACTCTCTTGATTCAAGATGATGTTGGAGGCCTCCAGCTTTTCAAGGATGCCCAGTGGCTCACTGTTCCTCCTATGTCCCACGCCATTCTCGTTCTTCTAGCCGATCAAACTGAGGTTTCTTCTATTCTCTCACCTTTTTCGGCTTTGAAATGATCGTTTGCTCATGTGTTTCTCCTTGTGCAGATCATAACCAATGGCATATACAAAAGTGCTCAACATAGAGCCATAACTAATGCGAATCGGGCACGGTTATCAGTTGCCACCTTTCATGATCCCTCCAAGACTGCAAAGATTGCACCAGCTTCTCACCTCATTAACCAACTCTCCCCACCGTGTTACAAGGAAGTTGTGTATGGCGAATTTGTTTCTTCCTGGTACTCCAAGGGTCCAGAGGGGAAACGAAACCTTGATGCTCTTCTCTGCTAATGATCAAGGATGAAAATATCTAAAATCTCCTTTCTATAAATGATTGTTTTGTGTGTTATGGTAAACACTGTGTATATTATGTTTCTAAACTAAGGTTTTAAAATATTTGACCAACGCACATCTCTTTCGTTTGCCTTTGTTTATCTATTTCCTTAGTTATGTTTCCTTCGCTCTCGGTTTAGCAAATATGTGACCTTTCCGTACAGGATTCAAGGTGGACGAGCTGGAGACTGTGGAGGGTTTAGGGGTGGACTAAGCGAAGGTGGAGGCAGTGGAAGAGGTTTAGGGATTCCTTGGACGAGGTCAACACCTTTAACCCTGGTACAACCAAACCAGAAGAAAACCCATATGCTCATATGCTGCAGCTGGTGATTGCCCGTATGATGGTGATTGATGGATACCCTAACATCCATGGAAATAGTTGCCTAACTTGTTGGAAACGTTGCTTGCATCCTTTCAGACCCGAGGAGAGAGTGAACACAAGAAAGTATGTGAGGAAAGCAAAAGCAGCTTGAAGCGTTTAAACTTAGCCAGGCAACCAAATATTACTTTCTGCATAGCATGTATCAGGAAATATGGAGGAAGGACCAAAAGAACCAATTCACGCTTGAGTAAGCAAAAGATTTATTGGTATTCTTGAGCAGTTGATACATCAATTCATAGAAACAAAATGCATAGATCAGATAGAAATACTATATGGAACACCCATTCCGGTAACACCGGGTTCAGAGATTGGCTTCAAAAGCTCGTACTTAACTACGCCAGCACCCGCTCTATTCTTCAGAGAAACAGTCACGTTTTTCTCATCTATCACTCCTTCTAGACATTGGAGCCTGCCTTTGAGTCGCTCATAGGCAGCATTGATGACAGGATCGTTGGTCCAAGATGCCTCTGGCTGTTCTCCGATGTACTCTTCATCAGGTGCATGGGTTGATAAAAGATCCAGAGTGACCATCACTTTGGTGGCCTGCTTCTGCGACGGAAATGTCCTAAGCAATACNTTTTCTGGCTCCTCATAGAACTCTTTTAGCTCTTCCTCTGTGGGTTCTTCCACTGGCATTTTGATCCTTGCGGTAGTTGGTCGGTTGGGAAAGTATCCTCCGTATCCGTACTGTCCAAAATTTACAGCGGCGTGGTGACCTGAGGCGACCCACGCAATGGTAGTCACCACGCCAATCAAGTCATCTTGTGTCTTGAGGACAGGCCACCATGGTTCGTCTTTCTTGTCTCCATGCCCTATGTTCCTCACTTCACTCCACCATCCTTGGAGTTCCTCATCCAACAAGATCAATCCTGCATCTGGATAGTAGTGCTTCACATAGTGTGTCACCCATTCTTTAAGTGCATCCCACAGCATTAGACCGTCATTCGCAAATGGGTAGTCTGGTATCGTCAGCCGTACCCCTCCATATTCTGCTGTCTCATCTTCCACGGCCAGCCCCCTTATCACACGAATTTTGTTTATACACACATTAATTATTCC